TCCCACTGACTAACAGAATATGAAATGTCAAATCCCTGTTTCCAGACTCCACCATTAGGGTCATCAAATTTTATTGTGTCAAACACATCTAGCATCTGAAAAATAAAATTTATAAAACATATTCATGTACACACTGTATTAAACTTCTAATGAAGCGCATGTAGCATCTTTTGACAGATACATCATCGAAAGACAAGCACTTTTATTCTCCAATTTGCTCATAAGACAGACAATTTTAATTTTTTATTTTAAACAACAGAATTGAGTACATTCTTCTTGTGAATTAAAACAAATGGAAAACTGCTTTGATAGAGAACAAATGAAGAACTGCTGTGACACAGAATAAATGGGAAACTGGTTTGATATAGAACAAATGAAGAACTACCGTTTGATATGGATTTGAACAGCCACCTGTTGCTTCACTAGCTTATCTCAACAGCTGGGAAACACCTATTCTTTCAATATTGTTTCATAATTTTCTGATATTAATTTTTGTCAGATTCATATATTGTAAATGAGTATAAGCACATTAGTGTTAAACATCAAAACCATTAAACTTGAGTTTTATAAACATATTTATACAAGTTTAAAGACATATTTAGGCAAATTACAAAATAAATAAATAAAATACAGTGATTTTAAAGGCAGGCTGAGCTAGCTTTTAGCCGACTTAATAAAAGCATTTAAACTGGCAATTGAACGAAGAGTATTATTCAGCTGAATGGTATATTATGCTTGGACTGTCATAAATATAATATTAATATAATATAAATATAAATATTAAGCAGTTCTTGGCTTGAGTTTCACAAGAGCATAATGACTGCCTGGTTACCCCTTAGAAAAACACAGAATGGTATTCTCTATATTATTACTCATATATTGGGGCAATTTTATCATTTGCTTTTAAAACTGGGTGACCTTTCAACTTTGAAGTTCAACACCTTTGCTAATCATCATTTGCTCATCATCATTTGCTCATCATCATCATCATCATCATCATCATCAAGGATGCCAGGTAGCAGTTTTAGCGTTTAGTTTAGAATGTATGTAACTAGAGCACCTATTCCAATCATTTCAGTCACAGTAGGAATGGTAAATATTCCATAATTATTTTACACATGGGGAGTATTTCATCTAAAAAATAATACCATTTACATGTGTTACCTCATTTAATAAAAAGCATTTAATAAAAGGTTTCCAAGACCTTTATTGGAACCACAAAACGAAAAATACTCTTCATTCAATTGCTAGTTTAAATGCTGGACGTGCAAGACACACGACTGTCACTGCATTCGTAGATGCTTGTCAAGTATGTAAATATACGGCCCATGGCTGACGGACCGTGTTAATTGATATAAATATGTGTTAAATGTTTTGAAACCTGCTGAAAGTACACGGATCCTAAGCTATTCAGAAGACGATTTATTCCGACAGGGTGCCATAACATTGTAGACATTATGTTACCAATAAATAATGTTTTGGATCAATAGATGCAGCATGTATTCTCAACGCTCTGATGATTTCTCAGTATTAAAGTATATTCATAAATAATACACTTTTTAAGTTTTCTATTTATTGGTTTTTCAGAATTTAAAATAAAAAGAAGAGATTTGACAAAAACAGTAACTATCTGGCTCAACACTACATCAGTTCAATGTTTTTATAAAAAATACTTTAAGGTTATGTAGGTGTCAGTTCTGGACATTGAGTATACCAGTAATTGTTTTTTTTTTCCAGCAGTTTTTGTTGTTGTGCTGTCTCAATAATACAGTGCATTTTGCTACAGAGACCACACAGATATCTACATTCAAGATAACATGACAGGGCAGTGTAGTCATCTCTATATCAAATGACAACTCACTGCTCCATCCCGAGTGTCAACCAGGGCCATGCAGTCGCTTAAGATTGAGTTTAACTCATTTTTTAATTGAGTCTACCATGAGTCTGATCCACTGATTACTTTTTTAGTTTAATATTTCATGTTGTTGTTATGTTGTTATGTATTATAAAGTGTTAGTGAAGTGGCATCAGGTGCATTTTAACAAACTTTTTTCAATTTCCTATTTCATGTACATTCAACACTGATCCAATGTGACCCTTGTGATAGAAAATTAATTATGGCAACCAAATTTGTTTTTTCCTGTTACTGTAAAATACTTATATTTTAGATATTTAAATATTTTAGCTGGAATTAATTTTCGCTGAAAAGACTTTTTGGGTGTTTTGTATGGAATGTATTTTCACTGATTTTTGATGATGTGAAATATATTATTTTCACTGAATCATTCTTACAGCGAAAATAGCAAAAATTAATTCAAAGCTAAAATAAATTATTTCACAGTAGTAGAGTTGTGTGCATGGTTCAAATAATCATATTTTTATGATTGAGCATGCAATAAATGCATTGGAGATGGGGCTTTTAATAGAACAAATATGGTATTATTAATTTTTACAGTTGTCAATAACCAGTCAATTAGTTTACAACAAATTAGAAATCCATTATGGTAATGAGCTATATAGGTTACCATAGCAACATATTCATTGAATTTTATTTTCACTGAAGCATCTCCTCAGCGAAAATAAATTCCAAGCGAAAATAAAGTATTCCACAGTATTATCATACACATGCGTATAAATACACACCATATTGCCTGTTGCTTCATATTGCATGACATATTACTGTATGTTTACTCAGTTTGTAAAATGAGTAAATTACATACTGATACATCATGTAAAGTCAAGTAATTTTGGCTCAATCTGAACATTGATTGAAGAAAAATTTGAAAAACGCAGCTATTTTCCAAAAGCTATGAATAATTTTATGTCAGCATCAATAATATGTATGTACACATCGGCTTATCACCAACAAGTAGGTGACTTTTTTTTTCTCCTTTGTCTTTTATCTAAGTCAGTAAACTAATGAATATTCATAGACTAAGCAAAAAGAGATCATAGATTTTTCGGTCAATTTATTTTTTAAAAATCCAAAATAATGCTAACATATGGTGTGACCTGTTTAACTTTAATATATATATATATGTATGCACCAACTGTTACAAACTCACACAAAACAATGTTTCAATGTCACATGTAACATAGAAACCTTTTCACCATCAGATTTTTTCACCCAAATTGTGTGCACTTTTTTCTTATAATTCTTTAATATTTCTGGAAATGAACCTTAATTTTTGGAGCCAATAGACAAAATTTGAGTCAATTTTCAGTTTTTACTCAAAAAAATTACTATTTTTGTACCAACTTTCTAAAGGGTAGTGCAGACTATAAACGGGACTATTTTGTGAAATTGTGATGAAAAGAGGGAACTGATGCTGAAAAGGTTAACTAAAGACTACTGTAAAATTAGAGAATTAAAGATATCATAACAAAATGAAAATTTAGTCTCAAATGATTGAACAAAAATAGGACTTTTTGAAAAACTACCTGCATTTGCGGATGTTCAGGGAACATCTGAATGGAGTGAGATGTACCTATGTTTATTGGACAATTCACAATATATAAATCAAGAGATTTTTCAAACTGGTAGTATTGGGGGTGGGGGGCCAACAGAACTGAGCTCCCTCACTAAGATAGGAAAAGAAAGAGAGGCAGGCCTCTGAGCACCATGAGGAAGACTGTGAAGGAGAAAATGAAGGCTACGGGGAAAGCCTAAAATGAAATAGAATGGCTTGCCCAGGAACGTGGCAACTGGAAAAGATTATACTCCATCCAGAATGAAGAGGAGTTAAAAACAAGAATAGAAAAAAAGTATGGGTGGAGGACACTATTTCCATATTTACTGTACATATACAATGGGC